TTCCTAGCCCAAACAGTTCAAAAGATATGACCCATATTACCAGCTCAACGTTTTTTTCTTTCTATAGTGGCACTGTTAAACAATCTTGTTGTTTTTACAGTATTACAGAATAAAACTAACAACAATGTACCATATTAATTATTCACAGTAAATTGATTAAAAATAAAAAACTGAAATATCACATTTACATAAGTATTCAGACCCTTTACTCAGTACTGTTGAAGCACCTTTGGCAGCGATTACAGCCTCAAATCGTCTTGGGTATGACACTACAAGCTTGGCACACCTGTATTTGGGGAGTTGCTCACATTCTTCTCTGCAGATCCTCTCAAGCTCTGTCAGGTTGGATGCAGAGCGCCGCTCAAGTCCGGGCTCTGGCTGGGCCACTCAAGGACATTCAGAGACTTGTCCCGAAGCCACACCTGCGTTGTCTTGTCTTGGTTGGAAGGTGAACCTTCGCCCCAGTCTGAGGTCCTAAGCGCTCTGGAGCAGGTTTTTATCAAGGATCTTTCTGTACTTTGCTCCGTTCATCTTTCCCTCGATCCTGACTAGTCTCCCAGTCCCTGCCACTGAAAAACATCCTCACAGCATGATGCTGCCACCACCATGCTTCAACGTAGGGATGGTGCCAGGTTTCCTCCAGACATGACAATCTTGGTTTCATCAGACCAGAGAATCTTGTTTCTCATGGTCTGAGAGTCCTTTAGGTGCCTTTTGGCAAACTCCAAGCGGGCTGTCATGTGCCTTTTACTGAGGAGTGGCTTCCATTGGACCACTCTACCGTAAAGGCCTGATTGGTGAAGTGCTGCAGAAATGGTTGTCCTTCTGCAAGGTTCTCCAATCTCCACAAAGGAACTCTGGAGCTCTGTCAGAGTGACCATCGGGTTCTGGGTCACCTCCTTGACCAAGGCCCTTCTCCCCCGATTCCACAATTTGGCTGGACGGCCAGCTCTAGGAAGAATCTTGGTGGTTCCAAACTTCTTCCATTTAAGAATTATGGAGGCCAGTGTGTTCTTGGGGACATTCAATGCTGCAGAAATGTTTTGGTACCCTTCTCCAGATCTGTGCCTCAACACAATCCTGTCTCGGAGCTCTACGGACAATTCCTTCGAACTCATGGTTTGATTTTTTCTCTGACATGCACTGTCAACTGTGGGACCTTATATAGACAGGTGTGTGCCTTTCCAAATCATGTCCAATCAATTGAATTTACCACCAATCAAGTTGTAGAAACATCTCAAGGATGATCAATGGAAACAGGATGCACCTGAGCTCAATTTCGAGTCTCATAGCAAAGGGTCTGAATACTTATGTAAATAATGTATTTAAGTTTTCTATTTTTTTTGCTTTGCATTATGGAGTATTGTGTGTAGATTGATGAGGAAAAATATTAATTTAATCCATTTTAGAATAAGGCTGTAACTTAACAAAATGTGGAAAAAGGGAAGGGGTCTAAAATCTTTCCAAAGGCACTTTGATATGCTATAATATTAAAACACAATACCTAGCAGCCAACCTGCTTGCACTAATCCCATGCAATTACAGTAAAATACTGTAAAATACAAGCCCTGCCTCACCTGAATGAATTAATCCATTCATCCATTAATCCATTAATTCATTACAATTACAATAAAAATATTACGGTAAGAGTATTGTTACCGTAAAACTGTACTGTATATTTACAGTATTATACTGGCAGCAGAGTTCCCAGCAAATCACTGTAATGATATTATACAGCTGTGTTGCTGTAATGATTACAGTAGGCTCATTTACAGTGTAATTATGTATTGTATAATACAGTACTCTTTCTTACTGTAAAACCTTTTACAGCATCCCTGCTGTAAAGCAAACAACTGTATTTAGCTGGCAACTCTGCTGCCAGTATAATGCTGTAAATGTACAGTTCAACTGTAAATAGATTCATAAATTGATACGAGTTACACGAGTCTGCTAAATGGCATATTATTTTTTAATATTATTATTATTATTATTATTACACAACAAATGTTATCTCCCGCCCACCCTTCTCTCTCTCTCTATCTATCTCTCTCTCTCTTACCTTCCTTCTTTATTTCTATCCTTCCCTTTCTATCTCTATCTCTTTCAACAACCTCAGAAAGAGTTGAAAGTGAATCCTGTCTTTTGAGGCCTCTATACAAAGCCATTGTCCTCTATCATAAAGAATATGGCCATGTTGAGATAGGCCTTTTGTGTTTCTAAAACCTGCTGCAGGAAACGGGTCTTCATTTTAACACTTAACAGCAAGTACATTCTCACCAACCAACGCCAGGAGGTTTAGTCTTTAAAATAGACATGTATGTATATATATGGCTTGTGACAGTACGCCTATACTATATCCCCAGAAATATGTTAATATTGGAATAATAAAACCTGCAAACTAAGTCAAACAATTGTTTTACAAGTATCATATAATGTCTCTACACTACAATGAAAGGTAGATGTCATGTAAATGGTGTAATGAAGACAACCAATTGGACATTTGTTGACATGGCCCAACCGACAAGATCCTGATGCAACAGGATTGGTGAGCCAGTAGTGTTTGCTCTCGATACAGAACTCCAAGCTGATAGACCTCTTTGGGACACAGCATTTATGTCAGCTTCCAGCTCAAAGCAAACAGTGCACAACCTCAGCCCACTTCAAAAACAACATGCGAATGTATTCAGAGATCATACAAGTTTGTAAGTACTATAAATAGATGTACCATATATAGTCATTTACCAGTATAGTGAGTGTTTAGTCATAATTGTAACTCCAACTGCCTATTCTATGGGAAGATAATTGACTGTAACTGTAAACGTTAACTGCCTATTTTATGGAAAGTTAACTGCTTATTCTATGAAAGGACATGCATGAAAAGCATGTTGTAATGCTGATCTCATGTGAGGCTCAGAAATAGATTCATAATGTATTGTCACACTCCTTCACCGATAACAATATATGGTGTGAGATCAGCAATTAAACCCCAAGGGATTGAAAAAGTACGAACACATAGTTAAAACGAAACATGAAGTGAGCCCAAACTATTCAAATTTTATGGTTACTTTATGTATGAGCTGATCACGGACATGGAGTTCAACATGCAAAATGCAAAACTCACCTAAGGCAGGTGCATTGCAGATGTCTGTCTGCAATACTGAGATACTCCCACAAAATCATTTCTTGCAAAGACTATTCTGATATGCATTTTGGAATGTAAGTACTTTGTCTATTTTACCATGCCATCATTGCCAGTTTTACCTTGTCATTCACAATCAGTGACACACCTTTAGTAGGCCAGTGTAATGGTTAAACGCCATTGCATTACACAGGCAAAGTACACAATGAGGTTACACAATACACACTCAACTCATAGGCGACACACATTAAGCTAATAATAACTTACCCATATACTACAATAGTAGGCAACTCTACAAATATGATGTGATAAGCATAATGAACATTGTAACCTATACATTTACTAATCAAAGAAATAGCTGCATTCTGTTCCTTATTAGTAACATTATTATTCAATTAAAGTAACTGGTGCTGAATAATTGTTAGAGAATAATCCGAAATTATTGAAATGTAAGACCTATTGGAGCTATCATATTGGAAATCAATAAGGCTATGAGGCTACTGTATATGCTACTACCACAAAGACGCATAGGCTAGAGTGACAGACAAGGGAATACCTATACAGTAGCCTAGAGGTCCTGGGGCCTCCTTATCAAAGGTGCTTACTGACAAAATAAGACTCTGCATGCGCCATTTTTCCCGCAAAGGTTGTTAGGCTATTTATCGAACTTGTTTGACGCACAGGAACAATGGTAGGCTAATAAGAATATTAAAACGCCATTGGTAAAGAGATTGCATAGCAGCATGTAGCCTAAAATGTTTCTTTGAGTTTTATTATGGGCCAAATCATAATAATATTTTCTGACATGAGTGGTTTATTCCCGGTACACAACAAATATTAGGCTACTATTTATCCATTGCTCAATCATTAGCTAAGCATGCTCGAATGTAAGCATGCTAAACTGTCTAGACCGGTAGCCTAGACAGTTTGGGTAGGCTGCAGTATTGCTGTGACTGGGATAGGAGCGCAACATCATAGCCTATTTAATCTCAGAGCCTATACCAAGACAGGAGATAGAAACACAATCATTTATTAACAAATACAATATTGAACAACAATTCGTATTTTGCATGTGGGCTGTAGCATTTACTTTTAAATTGTTTAAATAGACAATCAATCGTGCAAAATGTGCAGCCAGTGTTTTGTAAAATATTAAAACATTCTGCACACACCTCTACAGAAATGTGATCAAATTTGCTATTGTGCTTTCTTTTAGAAACTGACATGGCCCAGTTCCAACATTTCCAAATCATACAGCAAATGAGGGTGTTTATGTTACCATAAAAGGTGAATGGAGGGCGTTTTCCAGGCAGGATTGTATAATAGGCCTACAAGATGGTTCTGATTTATCAATGAAAACATTCGTATATGTTGTATGCGACAGTTTGATGAATCCCAATACTTTGTGGCGCACGCAAATCCTAGAATCTCCATGTATGCCTGAATTTAGTAAGACATTTACACTCGGTTGATAAATTAGGTCCCTGAGCACTTTCCGTAGGAGCTACAATATCTCGTCAATTAGTGCAACTAGAAAGTCATTATTCCCATACTAGCCTACTCTAAAACCTATAGGCTATCCCTTAGAACTGTGTCGATCCGGTTCCCCCACATTAGCTCTGGATAAAAAGGACCTTCCTGTTGCAATCGCTCTGTTTTCATGGATATAAACAAGAGACAGCGCGGAGTTTTTTTATTTCTTTTTCAGCCCTGCAAGCTTGTGCTATCGTCATGAACTGCACCTTATTTTTTTGGACCTAACCAGCGCGCAGTGTTGTTTCTGTCATGCCTGGCTGTTGCTCAGCAACACGAAGGCGTGTCCACTGGCGATGATTTAAGCAGTAGGAAACCCTTCTCTCACTGTCGGTTCAGTCTGTACTCCGGTCCCTGCATGGCAGCGGGATTGCTAGGGAGACGAGGGAATCCCCGGGTGTCGCCTCACTCCTGATCAATTTGCATCAGCGTTACCAAGCTTGGTTGTCTGTCTCAGTCTGCCTGTTCCATTCGCCGCGTCCACAAGCATGGCTTGGAGTGAAGTATAGCGCAACATCATCTCGGATTGTCAACCGGTGTAAAATAGGCTACATAACCCATGCTGAAACAACTTGTGTATTTTATAGAATACATTCATCAGAAGAACCACGTATATTTTCATTGATGAGGTGCGGGCTTTTTTAGTTTGACAGAGCAGCATTTTGGATTGCCAGTGCCATTATAAAGTGCGCTTGGATCCTAATAGGCTATTTCTTATTTTGGCAAAAAACGATAAGGATTTACATTGACATATTTTTTGTTTATGCAGGCAACCACCAAGTGACTTCGATAATATGGCATTGAGCGGGACGCTTTTGCCATCAATATCCACATTTGCAAGCGGCCCGACTGTCAAGAATAAATCCATGGGACATGCGAATTTGGTGAGTATGGTCAATCATAGCAATTTTCTATCTCAACAGTCTGGGCTATAGGCATTATTTAATGGTAGGTCAGCTCATAATCAGTTGTGTTTATGTCTTTCTATGGACATTTGTTTCATTGCTTGACATTATGTAATTGCTCGTAGTTCTTGTTGCTACATTGTATCATTGCCGCACTCCAGCGCACGGCACCGCTGTAGGGGCGTGCGCCAGCCGGGATACTAGTATAATTTTCAGCGTGGTCACTGACTGAATGGATGGTAGTCTACTATAAGATTTAGCTATAATTTACAGCATATACCCAGCAGTGGCATCCTGTATTGCTTTATTATGCCCTGAACCTTAGTCACTGTCCTAGCCGGCTACCACCCGGTACTATGACCTGCACCTTAGAGTAGGCTACATAAAGTCATTGAATACTGATCACTTTAATAATGTTTACATACTGTTTACCCACTTTATATGTATAGACTGTATTCTAGCCATGGCTCATCCTATATAACTACAGATGTACACACCTTTTCTATTCATATACTTTGCATATTGTCTTTACACACCATTATACAGTATGTAGGCTATATATAGTTATATACATTATATGTATATATCACATTTTACATTTACATTTTAGTCATTTAGCAGACGCTCTTATCCAGAGCGACTTACAGGAGCAATTAGGGTTAAGTGCCTTGCTCAAGGGCACATTTACGTCATTTAGCAGACGCTCTTATCCAGAGCGACTCACAAATTGGTGCATTCACCCTATAGCCAGTGGGATAACCACTTTACAATTTTGGGGGGGGGGGGGGGGGTGCAGTTTAAGATGAGGGAGGCTGATAATTTTTTTATGAGCATGGCCTTATTTCTATTACAGCATATTGGATGACAGTCATTCATATTCCATTCGCCCAGCTCAATGTAACATCGATAACTTTAGGCTACTACATGATACTCAAATTTTGCCTGTACCCAGAATGAGGTTGCTACAACCTAGCCTATGAATGAAAGTTTATAACATAGGTGCACACATCAAGAGAATTTTGAATAATCAAGGTGACAGACAGTGACACATTCAATACCAACTTGCACACTCTTGCCTGCATCTAGCTGATCTAGGGCATAATCATTAGTCCAACAGTTGCAAATTAGAGTTTCTATTGGAGAAATTCAGGTATGTTTATCCCCGTTTTGTTCCATTTGCTTCTGTTTAAGAAACATTTTTCAACATAATCGGCGGAATGAATACACCCCTGATCACACACAGTTCACTTTCATAGCAGCCTCATAAAAACAGCATGATCACTTTGCTCGTCCTTCTCGCAACTATCTACACGCTCTCCTCCTCTCACCTTTTCCCTTCGCTTGTGGACTTCAGTGCACAACACATCAGCTGTCTGTGACCAGGCAAAAAAAACTTTCCAAGCCAAACCTTCATATCATGACCGCTAACCGCTACACACAGCCTACATTGTTGTCATGTCATAGTCAACATAGCTACTAGACCTAACACGTTAGTAAACCCACTACAGTCATGCAGTACAGTGTACAGTCAGAAAGCAGTTTAGCAGTTACACCAACGGGCCCCAGTGGCAATAAGTTAATAAAACCAAAAGCTTACCTTGACTTGGAAGAGTTCTAGTGTTGGATAGACAAAGCCAGCTAGCTAACATAGCATGCCTTTATCTTTGAGCCGGGTGTTTGAGTAGGCTAAACTAGCTAGCTGCATTTGCTAGCTAAGTGAAAGTGAAAGTTTAAAAATCTCTCTCTCTCTTGCCTCTCCTTAATTTTGGAAGAAATTAATTTGTTCAAAACTGTTCATCTATTGTTTTTCTCTCTTTGAGTCAACTACTCACCACATTTTATGCAATGCAGTGCTAGCTAGCTGTAGCTTATGCTTTCAGTACTAGATTCATTTTCTGATCCTTTGATTGGGTGGACAACATGTCAGTTCATGCTGCAAGAGCTCTGATAGGTTGGAGGACATCCTCTGGAATTTGACACAATTACTGTGCAAGTCTATGGAACGGGGTGAGAACCATGAGCCTCCTAGATGTTGTATTGACGTCAATGTATCCAGAGGAGGACAGAAGCTAGCTGTCGTCCAGCTACACCATGGTGCTACCCTACAGAGTGATGTTGAGGCTACTGAAGACCTTCATTGCAGAACAGTGCATTTTAATAAATTATTTGGTGACGTGAATATATTTAGTATAGTTTTATCTAAAAAGGATAACTTTTTGTTTAAAGGAAATTCACTGTGGAGGATGGTCCTCCCCTTCCTGCTCTGAGGAGCCTCCTCTGGATATATTTATATTCCGGTCTCTGACATTGCTTGTTCTGATAATTCTTAATTTCTTAATGATAAATATTTTTAATTATGTGTGTATTGTGATTTTTTTTCTTTTCTTTACTGCTAGGTATTACTGCACTGTTGGAGTTAGAAACACAAGCATTTTGCTGCACCTGCGATAACATCTGCAAATCTGTGTACACGACCAATACACTCTGATTTGATTTGAAAATATTTAGGCTGTTGCCAATAATGTGAATATAATAGAATAGCCTACCAAATGTGAGTTGTTTTCAAGGAGAAGCTCATCCAGATCTCTTGTGTTATAGCAGCCTAATAAACTGGAACTAATCCATACATGTCTGGGATTATTGTACATGTCTGGGATTACACAAGCGTATTTGAGACACACTGATAGATATGACCAAGAATCACTTTCCCGTTTCAGTTAGACAGAAAGAAGAAATTAATCTACAGGTACTTACATTTGGCAATAAAATGTTTTGACCAAGGGCACACAGTCTGGGTGAGCAGACTCACCTCAGCCAGACTCTCAATGACTTAGCACCATTATATCAGGCAGTCTTCAGCATTATGTTCATGGATTAACTATGACCTCAGGTCTCTTTCTATCCTCATATTGACTTTAATGTGTGGTTCTCTTGTCTTCCCTAGAGATGGAAGGAGGAGCTGTCCCACCTGAAGAGGAGCAGCTGTTCTGACCAGGACATCTCAACTGGAATGGCCAAGAAAGAACCTGAAGATCTGGACCTACTGGACTACGACTTTATCCTGTCCAACACTATGCTACAACAGCAACAGCAGGAACAACAACAGCAGGCTGAGGCTATGGCAGCGAGCGGGTCCCAGAACCTGTCCCCTTCCCCGGGCTCCTACTCCTCCTACCAGCTCCCATCTCCCCAGGACTCTGCTCACAGTGACATGCTGTACACTATCCCTGATATCAGCGACGTATCCCCTTCTGGGGGGTTCGTAGCGGAGCTGATGAGGCCTGAACTGGACACGGCGTACCTCCATCCCACCAGCCTGCATGGAAAGTTTGTGGTGAAGTCCACCATGGATATGGCAGAGGTTGGCCACAGCATTAATGTGAGTAGTAAGGCTGGTGTTGGTGTTGGCGCTACCACGGACCCCTCCTCCTCGTTGCCATTTATTTGCCATAGAATAAAGCAGGAGAACCCCAGCACGTGCACCATCACCCGGCCCATGGACCTCCACCTTGGGGGGATGAACTCACACTCCCAGCCCAGGGCTGGTCAGAGGCCCCACCTCGACCCACACGGTTTCCCCCCAGGGGGGCGCCCTATGACTGCCAGCCGATCAGCCTCATCTCTGTCTCCGGACCACACACTGGCCAGGGACCACCACCCCTCCAGCCAGGTGTTAACCCACCCCCAAATCCCCCTGCCCAGTCCGGGCTACCACCACACCTCTCCGACAGGTTACTCTCCCTTCCCACAGCAGCATGGGTCTCTACAGTACCAAGGTCAGTTCAACTTCAACTTCAATCTAAGTGTTTTTGACCAAGAGCCTTTTTTACACAACATTCCTCATTTTCTGGTGCCTGACTGAGGAAAACATTGAGGTGATGATGCTCATCACTCCACCCTCTTCTCTCCTCCTAGAGCTCATGTCCCCTGGTGGAGACAGTCTACCAGAGGAGCCCAAACCCAAACGTGGTCGGCGCTCATGGCCTAGGAAGAGGATTGCCACACACACGTGTGACTATGCCGGCTGTGGAAAAACCTATACCAAGAGCTCCCACCTCAAGGCACATCACCGAACACACACAGGTTGGTACACATGTTGGTTTTCTCATTGTAAAAACGCAATTTCTGAAGGTTTTATGATGTCAGGAGGATTTTAGAAGGCACTTTCTAATTCTTATTGCATCGCTCAGTTATGAGTTTCATTAATGTAGTTTATGGTTTATGAAATGGTAGGCCTTTAGTGATTAACAGCAGGAAACTTTGACATGGAGTTTTATATCGGATTAATATTAAATGTAATTTTCATTTTGTATTAATTTAGTAATGATTTGGTATGGAGACAGTCTGTAGAAGGGAGACATACATTTAATGGCTGGAATAATCCATTTAATTTGTTGAAATGGAACAATTTGTAACAGGCAGCAATGTGACCCTTGTGTTTTAACTGCACTATAGAGCTACAATATGACAATTTTACTTATTCATTCATTCATTAATTTTTTATTCAGTAATGCCAGTTAATTTCCCTCAGCAGTACACTATATGTTCACCTATATAGGCGGCAGGTAGCTCAGTGGTTAAGAGCGTTGTGCCAGTAACCGAAAGGTCGCTGGTTCTAATCCCCGAGCCGACTAGGTGAAAAATCTGTCGATGTGCCCTTGAGCAAGGCACTTAACACTAATTGCTCCTGTAAGTCGCTCTGGATAAGAGCGTCTGCTAAATGCCACAAACAAAACACCTATAACTATTACCTTTCCTGCTACCTACCCCATGCTGCTTGGCCCTGGCATAACGGCTGTTGTATTGCTAGCAGTAAATTACTCTACTGCGTCATCATGGTAAAATAGCGAAAAAGAGAGAACAGCAGCCCAGTTGGCAGGTGTCATGAACAGGCATTTAAACAGCAGCAGCAGGTTGATACTGATCACTTTTCAAATACAACTGTAGGCTGATTAGTTTAATCTTTATGCGCTGCAGGACAGGACCAAACTCTTTCTGTGTTGAGGAGTGGAGAGTTTGGTCTGTTTTTACTCTAGGGCAAACAAACAAAATTCTAACTTCCTTGTTTGTGTGTCTCTCTCTCTCTCTCTGTCTTTGTGTGTGTGTGTGTGTGTGTGTGTGTGTGTGTGTGTGTGTGTGTGTGTGTGTGTGGTGTGTCGTTAATAGGAGAGAAGCCTTATCACTGTGACTGGGAGGGCTGCGGCTGGAAGTTTGCCCGTTCGGATGAGCTCACACGGCACTACAGGAAACACACCGGGCATCGCCCATTCCAATGTGCCAAGTGTGACAGGGCCTTCTCAAGGTCCGACCACCTGGCACTACACATGAAGAGACACCTATGAGACAGTCACTGGACTCACTGGACGCCATGGACCAAGACTTAACCCTCCCGTTGTCCTAGGGTCAAAATGACCCGCCACTGTGTTGAACCAACTTTATTTAATTTTTATATTTTTGGGATCATTTGTGAGAAGGAGGCAGTGAGACTTTAAAGAAAGTATCACTGCCTCCTTCTCACAAATGATCCAAAAAATATAAAAATTAAATAAAGTTGGTTCAACACAGTGGCGGGTCATTTTGACCCTAGGACAACGGGAGGGTTTTAAAGACTAAAGATATTATTACAAAGACCGACCTGAACTTGTAACTTTAAAAACAAACATTGTCTTCCAGCCATTGTCAAAGCATCAAGAAAAGCTGTGTGATTCACGGCAAAGAGTGTTACACTCGCTAGGTTCAAACCCTATGACTAAAGACTGTTTTTCGTCCATCTATTAGTGCTGAGCGATTAACCGATATTGTGGTTATTTTTCGTTTTTTTTAATTAATTGGCAGACATTGGTTCAATTATTTGAATTCCAATTATTATAATTTTTTCTCAATGCACACATTGCACAGTTTCTCTCGAGATAAATCAAATCAAGCCCGAACTATGTGATGTAGTAGGGAGTTGTAGTTTCCAACAGGCTAATAATCTACATAGTTTAGCGCAGAAAACGTGGTAATTAACTATAATGACCATAATCCATTGCGCGCCTACTTGTCCGGTCTGTGCGTTTCTTTTACGCCTGTTACGTTAGGTGTGGGGGGCAGACACGGAAAGAGAAAGAAGATACAGAAGAATGCGCGATTGAGAGGGATAGAGAGCAATTGCTTCGCAATGTATCTCTACCTGAAAATACATAATCTAAGTCAGGGGTGTCAAACTCATTCCATGGAGGGTCTAGTGTCTGCTGATTTTTTGGTTTTGCCTTTCACTTAAGACCTAGACAACTAGATGAGGGGTTTCTTACTAATCAGTGACCTTAATTCATCAATCAAATACGAGGAGTGAAAACCCGCAGACACTCGGCCCTCTGTGGAATGAGTTTGACACGTGATCGAAGTAATTCATAGTTGGTATTCATCAGTCATAAAAGTATGCCTTAATTAGTTTGAAGAACTACTAAAATAGTGAATTTGTCAGACATCATAGGCAGCAGCCCTATAGAGATGAGATGATGACTTGGAATGAAATAATAAAGTCATCAAAGAAATATCAAAAAAAATATCCACAACAACTAAAATATTTTATTAAAGTCATGTGAACAAATTATGGTTAATAAGTGATAAGCAGTAATGGGCAGTTACTACTATCATGGGACTTTTTAAAATAGTTTTATTCTGTGTTGTTACAGCATTCAACCCACATAATTCATAACGTAAAAATAAAATAAAACCGAAATCGAAAACCCTGATTATTTTTTAAATAATTGAACTTAAACCGAACTGACCTCAAAAAGCACTAATTGCTCAGCACTACCATAAATGGGCTCGTGATATGATGTTTTACAAGACCCCTCAGAACAACCTCCTTTGTGGGACAAAACTGGAATTTATCGACAAAAGGACCAGGTGCCAACGTATGACTGGAAATGTATTAGTTATCAGGGAAACAAGACTCAGACAGACAGAACACAGAAGTGACAGAACACATCCTAAGAGGCCTTCTATCCATTCTATCAGCAACATTGTTTGTCAAGTTCATACAGTTCAACATACTGTATTAAACATTTATATTTATATTACTCTTCCAAGCCATTGATTTCAGGTACAAATTAATTTATATGTTACAGGAAGGTGCTCAAAGACTTTTAAGTGTTTTAAAAGGTACCAAAGATTTTTTTTAAAGAAAACAGATTTAAAAAAGAGTATCAAAGTACCATATGGTTGTCTGTGAGTTTCTTGTCTAGGAGTTTCTCTTCTTCTGCAATTTGACTTTAATCAGGTGAATACTTTGCTCCTCAAAGGTGATGGCAATCTTTCAATGCACTGTGGTCGCAAAGTGCAATAATGTTGTGTGAGACATTCATATAATTTTGTATCTCTGAACAATGTTTTTGGTTCAGAGTCAAAGCATGTAATATAATCTTAAATTTTGTACATTTGTAAAGAAAATGCTTTTTAAAACTGCTTAAAACGTTTTGTATGTTATGTATTTTACAACATAAAGAATAAAATGTATTTAAAATGAACTTTGTATGAACTGATCACTGCTGTTTTATAGCACTGTTATGTAAATGCTTCCATACTTGTATTAACCTGTAAAATGTTTCGATAAATGTATTTGGTAAATGTACCTCAACCATGTAAATTGAAATTAAGCAACATCAGTGTCTAATTTTATTAAACTATATAGTTTGACTATCTATTTACGTAAGTCATAGCACATTTAAATAATAATAATGCTTAATATGTTACTTAAGATGCTTAATAATGCTCATCTCCTTTTCTGAAGCATACTACATTGCTTTGGGTGTGTTGACATACATAAGCTGTGTGAAGTCATTCACAGAGCTTTAAATCTATTCAGGTATGTAAATAGTAACCATATATAGATCCTACCTTTCTCATAAATCAGTTGTTAGTGAAGGTACCTGTGTTTTAAAGGTACGTTACTATGTAGGAGTGGTTGGTGACTCATCAGTGTCTCCCTCCTCTGATAATTATATTTATGTACCTCCACACCCCTCTTTGTTATTGGCAGTTAGTTAGTCAATACTTGACCTACATACCAGGGAGGTTTATTCAATTCAGTTATCTTTACTAACCTATACTATACTCTCCAACCTGGTCAGCAGTATTATTAGACAAAAACACACTGATTTCAGACCCATTTTATGAAGACCCAGGCCCTGATTTCACATTCAGGGAATGTCCCCATAATAAACACCTGTTGACCAGACCAGGTAGGGGGGCCCAAACCCACCCCACCCATCCCCTTCCTCAAATCCTCCCCACCCCTCCAATGCCTCATCACACAGCCTCATCCGTCGTCGTGTGTGGGCATGGAGGCTGGGGGAAGTGGGGGGACACTGACAGATAGACTACAGTAGCTGCTGGATATGACTCAGCATGAGGGATAAGTATGTAGACACAGCATTTTACAGGTAATGCCGTGGCACAAATCCATCATACTAAGACTGTATGGTTATGACCTAGACAGGTGTAGACCCAATCTCTAGTGTTCCGATTTTTTCCAGCAATCAAATTAATTCCTGTAAATTTTGCCCACTTTCTGTCCCAGAATATACTTGATTTTGAGCTGTGAACTGGAAACTTTGTGGTGTGGTACATTTTGTGGTGCAGTAAAATCTCAATACCTGAAAGTATCCCACTGAATTACTCACGTACAGCACAGTACCACATATTTTTTATAACTAAACCAAGATAGACCACAGCCTGTCGTTTCCAATGGGAACAAATTAGTCATAGTAGGCAGAACAAGCAAGAACGTGGGCAGAGCCAAGCATGAGCTAGCGCGATCCTATTAGTCCGTTCTAGGTAGATCTGCATATTTCCGTTAGGAAACGCCTACTCTGTGAAGTGCGCTTGTGCAATAACTCAATTCGCCTTTGCACTCCTTCTAAACAAAGCAATTTTTCACAACTTTGGCAAAGGTTAAAGTCTAGTCCACTCTGCTCATAACATATTCTAGTTTTGGGAACAGAAAACTGTATTGAGATCAAATGTTTCATCGATGAGAAAATGTGCAGAATGACGGTCAAAATCCATCTCCTTCAATCTACTCCCACTGCCGGACACTGGGCTTCCTCTCACTACCATATTTGGTAGTGAGTGAAAACGCCAAGCAGCTGCTTCACATTTATACATCCGGTGAAATATCTGTCTCATTGTTCTGTCTGTGACAGTACTTTAGCTAGGTAGGCAGGGTTGAAACAGGCTGGGGATTTTAGGGTCTTTGGCTGCCCTCTAGTGGAAAATAGTATGATCTCGCCTGGCCATCTTTAAGCCTACTCAGGTATACAGTCAGCTTGAAATACATTAGTGTATACCCTGGCTTGTCAGTTAAACTGTAGGGTATGGATGGACTAAATAGTGATAATGGACTTTAATGTCTTGATTTACTTGAGCTGTTCTTGTCTATTAATGTTCTGTATTATGTCATATTTTGCTTTTGCAACAGCTAATGGGGATCCTGATAGAATAACAAATAATTAACCCTTTTCGGGGCAGCTTTCTTAACACAATTCCAGGTGTATCCTGCCTTCCCACTGGGCACAAACTGGATGAACCAAAGTTGTTTCAATGTAATTTGTCAACGTATTGTGACGTCAGATCTATGTGGAAAATACATTGGATTTGCAAAAAGTAATCAACTGTTGTCTTGAGGGTGAAATTTCAACCACATAATTATGTCATAATGGTAACCAATTTTCAACATAAACAAACCTTGTATAAAATATTTTGAATTTGTACCTTTGAAACAACATCAGATCTTCAACGTTATATCCACTATCAACTGTAGAGTTGATCTTGATTTACAGCCATCCACTTGGTCTCCCATCCAGGGTTTTAACCAAGCCCAGCCCTGCATAGCAATGTGCTATCTTGAGAATAATTATTGAGAGATCTCTTAATAACTAAATAGATTCACTGTTGCTATCGAAGTCATTCCAAAGGGTAGGTTTAACAGAGCAAATTAAATGTAACCATAGTTTATATCATCAATAACACTATTTAGGCCTATATAGCATTTGCGAAGTGATCAACAGTTATTGTTTCAATTCAACCTGTCACACCCTGGCTCTGGGGACTCTATATGTTGAGCCAGGGTGTGTAGATTCTATGTGTTGTTGTTCTATGTCGGGATTCTAGTATTGTGTTTTCTATGTTGGCCAGTATGGTTCTCAATCAGAGGCAACGAGTATCAGCTGTTGCTTGTTGTCTATGATTGGGAGCCATACTTAAGCAGCCAGTTTTCCCACAGTAGTTGTGGGATCTTGTTCCTTTTTGGTTTGTTCTGTGTTGGTTGTGTTTAACCTAGGACGTCACGTTATCG